GGAGCTGCTCTAAGGTGTCCCCTTCAGGAGCCTTCTCTTCTCCAGCTGCCCCAGCCCAGCTCTCTCAGCCTGGCTCCAGAGCAGAGCTGCTCCAGCCCTCGCAGCAGCTCCGTGGCCTCCTCTGGACTTGCTCCAACAGGTCCACGACCCTCTTGTGCTGTTGCTCCAAAGCTGAACATAACAGCTGAAAGGCAGAATCTGTATTTAAAAAGCAGGAAGATTGAGGTCTCACAATGCAGAAGCAACACCATGGGCTTGTATATTGAAATATATATGTGTATATTGTTGGTAAATTTGTCTTATGGCACTGGTTTAAGTTTTGAGCTCATGTAGTTTGAGTTACCAGTGATTTAGTGAGTCTGGCTCTGAGCTGAACATCAGTAACTATCTGTCTGCATGCCCATATCTGCTACAGATACAGAGTTTGAGTTCAGCTGAGATAGCAGCGAAAGAAAGTTGATCTAAATTGTGTTATCTTACAATTGGAGGGGATTCAGTGCATGCATTTGGACCTACCAGTGATTACTGACAGGGGTGACAACATGATAACTTTATAAGGCTCAGTAAGTGGCCAGTGCAGTAAAAGCTGCTCACTGAAAACCCCCTCGCCTCTGAAGGGGGGTTACTTTGGGTTTCCAGTCCCTGTTTGAGCATCTGCTAGCACTGCCATGCAGGATTTCATACCATTCCTCTTCCCAGCCTCTGGTTACGTAGGAAACCTGCTTTGATTTGATGCATTAATACAAGTGAAAGCCAGATTCCCAGAAGAAGGGAAGTTGGGACATCTGTTTAAAGGAATAGAGTTGCTAAAGAAAAATGGTTTGCTAGAGGAATCCCAGAGCACTGCTGGGAAAGCTGATACAACAGCGTTTACTAGTGTCTGACCATGGCTTTCATCAGCAGAGCTGACTCCAGTTTAATATCCGCGGGCCTTGGTTTATGTCCCTTAGCTTCCATCCCTGGATGCCGACAGCAGTGAGCTGGCAATCCCATTCAGAGCCCTGGATTTCACTCATGGGTTTTGTTTTATTGGGTTTTTTTAAGGGATTTCTTTCTATTTGCTCACCTTTATAGAAAGAAGCTGCCCCCAAGGTTTTGTGCTTCTTGGTCTCTGAGATGTGCTATGTTTGCTTCATGCTTCCCTGACCATCTGAGGTGCTGGTGAGGGAAGTTCTTGTCTGGATTTTGGGACAATGTGACTGGTTTTGGTCCCTGTGGAAATCAAACCAACTCATAATGGTGGGTTTTAACCGTAAAATAGACATTCCATCATCTGATGCTAAACCATGGATTTTGCTCACATTCAGATTCATCACTTCAGCCTCTGCAAGGTGAATTGATGGTCCTCAGCACAGTTGGGCCTTCTTTCTAGAAGAGGGCAACACTTGAATAGGCTTGGAAAAGGAACTGACTTCTTGAGAGACCTTCCCAGTGGGGAGCCTTGGGCTGCTGCTCTTGGAGGCGTGCATGTGGCATGCATGTGTGTGGTGACATCAAACCAGTTGGAAAGAGCTGGATGATACTGGAGAAGAGAAGGCTCCTGAAGGGGACACCTTAGAGCAGCTCCAGTGCCTAAAGGGGCTCCAGGAAACCTGGAGAGGGGCTTTGGACAAGGGATGGAGGGACAGGCCAAGGGGAATGGCTTGAACCTGCCAGAGGGGAGACTGAGATGAGCTCTGAGGCAGCAGCTCTTCCCTGTGAGGGAGCTGAGGCGCTGGCACAGGGTGCCCAGAGAAGCTGTGGCTGCCCCATCCCTGGCAGTGTTCAAGGCCAGGTTGGACACAGGGGCTTGGAGCAACCTGCTCTAGTGGAAGGTGTCCCTGCCCGTGGCAGGGGTTGGAACTGGATCAGCTTTAAGGTCCCTTCTGATCCAAACCATTCCATGATTCTGTGATTAAAGCTCCTGAGTCATTAACCTGCCACCTTACACTTAAGAAAGAGGGGAAGTGGTTTGAGTCAGTGCATGCAAAGCCCATCCAGTCATCAGGTTCTCCTGCTGACCTTGAGCAATGCACTGAATTCCTGTATCTGACATGTTCTCCTAGAAGCCCAAGTGCTCATTTCCAGAAATGCTCATTTCCAGAAATGCTCATTTCCTCCCCTGCATCAAGGAGGTCTCTGCTCTTTGGTCCAGAGGCTTAACCACCATCATCTGTTGTTCTTCTCTTTTAACCAGTGACTGAAAAGGTTTATGAGAGCGAATCCTGTACAGACAGTGAGGATGACTTCAAGACCAAGCCACTGGCTGCACCCAGACAGCCTGTGCTGCCTCTGAAGAAAGAACCAAAGGAAGAAAGGAAGAACGTGAAGAAAGGGGCAGCTGTTGCCAGCAGAGCCAACAAACAGGTCTCCATCATGGGGTTTTTCCAGAAGAAATGAACTGGGTCTTTCTCCTGGTCCTCTTGGGACCGTTGCTCTTCTTGTGCAGCGTTCTGCAAGCTGCTGCACGGGAGGAGGACAACATGCAATCTTCACTTACGTAAGGTATCTTGCTTACTGTGTAAGTAAGCCCTCTGGACTAGATTTTGTATCAGAGAAAAGTGTAATTCCTGACTGCAATGACTTGAGTCCTCTTTACTGAGTGTGGGTAGCACCAGTTAGAAGCAAAACCTAAAGGAACTCTTGAAAGACTCCCCATTTATCCCATCAAATCTTATTTTTTAATATGGCCTTTCACCTCCTCGGTGCTGAGGCCTCTTCCACAGTGGAACAAACTAAGAGTTGAGTTGTGGCGTTTTTTTCCCCCTTCTTTTTACACTCCCAGTTCTCTAGATTGATGTAAATGGTCACGTTGGTTTGAAGCTGTAACGTAACCGGTCTTGAGGCATACACACAAATATTGGACATCTGCTTCAGCTTTAACTGAATGAAATGAACTTAATTTTCCCCCTAAGACTGGTAAATAGTTTTTGCTCTGCCTTTCATAATCTTTTTTTTATTTTGGACAAAGCAGCCCGTATAAAACTCTCTTTTCTTCCTTGAAATATCCTCTGTAAACTCCTCGGATGCCTAATTATAGACTCGGGACACTGTTGGTGCTCTGTGTCTGCAAAAACATCTCTGAGGCTTCCAACCCAATTGGCTCCGAGGTAATTTGGGGGAAAGCTTTGCTATTATTGGGAAAGCAACTGTATCCTTAACCTTGGAAGGTAAGGAGTCAAAGGGAAGGGTGATCAGAGGGCACTGCTGATAACATTGCTCAGGTGTGTTGTCTATGAAGAATTCCTGCTTTTGGGGTTTGTAGGGTTTGGCTTGCCTGAAGTGATTTATTTTTTTTCCCAGACATAATCTAGACACCAGAAGAGTTGTTTTCTAGGACATCTCATCATCTGCCTGCTGAGGGAAGTGTACCACAGCAAACAGTGCTGAGGAACCAGTTACTGGGGATGAGTAAAGCACTGCAGGCCCATTTAATCAGAAATGAGGCGCCAGTTTGGATGCTTTCTGGTTTTCTGGTGCTAAATTTGGTAGATAGATGGAAAAGAGCAGATTTTCCAGAGGTGGGTGCTGAGCATTTCTGAAGCTGGGATTTGAGGGCCCCAAATGGGTGACTGGTGTCATCAGTGGTTACTTCCAAGTAGCGTTAGGCCAACATACGTATGGATATGCATATACATATTGGTTTATAAAGAGTTTGTGGGTGGCAGAAAGCTATATAAAGCCTGGAAAGTGTCATCAAGGAAGAAATGTCTTCAGGCACCCAACTGAAGCCAACCTTTGACCAGTAAGAGCTATTTACAGTTGTTCTGGCCAGGAGATCAGGTTGGTGACTCTGCATTTGAAAGCACACACCCCTAATAGTGACCAGCAGTTGTCCTGGAGGAAGTCCCATCACCCTGGGCAGCTTGTGCCCTCAGGACATGTGAGAGGGTCTCCTTCAAACACCTACAAGCAGCAGTGTCTCTGTGTGCCCATGAGTGTGTCCAGGCTGGGGTGATTCAGCTGCTTGACACATGGATCACTGCTGTTAAGGTGGTTTGAGGGCAATCTTAGCCCCCTCCCCATGTAGCTCCTCGGAAACATTAAGAACTTAAACTCTGGACTTTCTGAATTGGAGATGTGTAGGATTAAAACTGGGAAGATGAGGAAAGCCACAAATGACACAGTACTCCCAGACATCCAAACACAGAGCCCACTGCACAAGCTGAAACAGGTTTCATGCTCTCAAGCTGTGTCAGCGTAAGTCAGCTCTCCAGCCTGGAGTGACGTGGGCAGCAGAGGTCCATGGGGAAAGAATGAACCACTTTGTTCTGCCTTTTATGAAGGAAATTTAACTGTTAACCACACTGCTGCAGTGTTCCTGTTTCTTCTGCTGGAATTGAGGGTGGATTTTGGAAAGTAATGATAACAAACCCATTAAATACATTTTTCTTTCGTCCTTGCTCTTCATTAACTGTCCATTAATTCTTCACCCCCCTTTCCATGGGTTGCTGTGCCATTTGTCTGCGTGGAAGGACATCACTGGTGAAGTGGGTACAATGTTCTTCCGCCAACGCCAGGGCTGGAAGCATTAGAGTGCTTTAAGGCATCTGAAATGAGAATACCTCAAAATACCAGGATTTGCATTGAATTTGGACCCCTTTTTTGTCATTCCTATGGCAGATGTTGACAGGACGTGATGTCCTGCTGCTCTTGCACCTCACCTCTACCAGGGTCTAGCTGGAGCTCGCTGCTCCACCCCACCTCCCTCTATAACCAGCTCAACGTCATAGGCGACTTCCTCAGGAAAATGACTTAATGTCTGAAGAAGCAGGACATAGGAGAACTTCAGACTTCCCAAAATCATGATCTCATACTCCCTGCTCCTGCACTTCATGGGCTGCCAGCCTCAGGGGGGCCTCAGGTCCCTGGTTGCCCCCTTGGCGAGGCTGGAGCATCTCCAGGTGTTGCATGGAAGTGAGGAATGGGGCTGGTTAAAGGGAGAAGGTTCCTTCTTGCTGTGGCTTGTGAGGGTGAAAGAGCAGCTCAGAGCCAGGCAAGGTGCTGGAGCAAGGAGCATGTTTCCTGCCTCACATTGAGCTCAAGAGTTGATACTGATGGTGCTCAGGGTCCGAAATACCCTGGAGCTGCCGCAATCCTTTAGGATTTCTTCTCTTCCCCCCTCCATCCCCCTTCTGAAGGTTTACACCTCAGAAGAGCGTATGCCTCATGTTTGGGAGAGGATGTTTGTTCATTTTATAGTGGTGGTTGTTTTTATTTTCAGACAGAGGAAGCTTCATCCTTGTTTTCCAGGTAGGATGAGAAGCTGAAGTGGCACCATCAGATACAGCTGTTGATGCACTGGGCTCCCATGGGACACGGTGCCTCTGAACCAGCAACCGTGTGTGCCCTGGGAAGGGGCTGGAATGCTCCTAGGGATGAAAAATCCCTGTCCCTTGAGCTGATTTATAACCCTCCTTCCCCCAGGACAGTCTACTTGGGAAAAATCCCTCTGCCTTTCCCACTCTGGATTCAGCCAGCCGAAAACACAGGAGGGATGTGAGGAAGGGTCACACCACCACTGCCGGGTGCTGACCTAGGATAACAGACAGTGAGCAGCAGGGCTGAGCTGGGGCAGGAGGGTGTCCTGGTGGTGTGTGGGGAATTGTTTTGCTCTCTGAACAGGCAATGCCAGCTCGACTGCAGATTCCAGTCGGGAATCACGGAGCATCAGGGCCTTATAAGGAAGCAAAATACGGCTCCGTGAGGCTGGTGGAGAGGAGAGCGGGCGCTTGCCAGGGCCCTACGTCAGCACCTCGCTTCTCCCTAGCTGTGGGGAACAGGCTTCAGCACCCCAAGGTGCTTAATACAAGGTGTGGGTGCTGCTGGAAGGGATTTAGGCACCCGATGGAGTCTGCTTTGGTCCACATCAGTTTGCTCTCAGTGCTGAGATCCCTATGGAAGCTCCACAGTGGCTCTCACCCTGTTGGTCTTTCCCAAGCCTCGTGAGGTGGCTGCTACATCTGGGGAAGGATGTGAAGAACATTAAAATCAGTGGTTCAAGGCAGCAAACAGCAACCGCTTCCC